CTGATATTTTTTTCATAGTGGTCTGCTCTCTTGTATTCAACATCTGGGCCAATAGCTGGAGGTAAGAACTTGTCTCATTTGCAAATTGTCAGATTTTGCTAGGAAATAACTTTTCAGACACTGGAAAATGTGTAGACACCTTCTCCTTTCACACTGCTTCACGGAAGACACAAGTATGTAAGAATATAACAAGAGGGAGAGGTGTAGAAAAGAATGCGGCTTTCTACGAGGGAATGCATGTATTATGTGATTGATTTTTAGCTATATCAAAGCTAGCAGAGAACTAGATGGTGATGGAAACTAATTTCCTTTGTAGACATCATGATTACATTGTGATCACTGTGGCTTAATACATTGATAGTCTCTTTATCAAAGGACCGAGACACATCTGTTTAGGGGTGTTACCTTTCAGCTTCTTGCATTTCATTCCCCATTTCCACTGTCAGAGAATGCCACTATGGCATGATTGGGTTTTGGCTTTCAGGGTTTGTATTGAGAAAAGCAGCCCATTAACATTTGCAAACACTAAACGTGCTATTTTGAATCAGCCTTTTGTCGGCATAAATAGCATTCCAGAGCTGTGCTGTGGCTTGCAGGAATCCCTGCGTTGGGATGGTGTCAGCCTCGAGGGATGCCATTCCGGGGGGTGTTTCCCTGGTGGGCGAGGAGGGGCGCCGTAGGGTGTCTGCTTCCACGGCAGTTGCAGCCCTGGGTGACAAGAGCCCGGTGATCTCGGGAGCAACAGGAGCCTGCGGAGCCCTGGAGCATCCGGCTGCGTGTGCTGGGCAGGTATATCCAGGTGCCGCTTGTTTTGGTAAGGCCAAATGGTCTCACAGTGTCTGTACCAGCTTCTCTTACTTAACAAAAGTGTGGTTCATCAGTTTTATTGCTCAAGTTGTTTGCTAATGAACTTTACGGAGCACTTGTATTGTCAGTTGCTATCCTGACTTTGTAGAGCTAGCCAAAAGTTGTCCAGCCCTCTTAGCACATTTATGGAGTCTTTGCTTTCCTGGATAACGTTTCTTTCTTCCTCAGCGGCAGCGCGCCCTGAGACAGGTAGATGACAAGTCCATGTTTAAGGTACGCTTAGTGGGGGCTGCAGAGGCGCGATGCAGATACCTGGCTCTGGTATGGCCTGCAAAGCTCTGGCCCGGGCGTCCAGCGCAGCTCGCACTAGGAACGTGCGTGACATCATAGGATTAACCCCCAACCTTGAACTGAGCAGAGCCAGAGAACACGCTCCGGCTGTCAGGCACCGTGCGAAGCTTGAAAGCAAATGAGAACGTGCTTCATCTCTTGTACTGAAGCTGCTGTGGAACTGCCACGAGGAGAGAGGGCAAACGAGGAGGAGGTCATCAGCTGGGTGCTCCTGCATGCGCCTGGTCAGGGAGCCATGGTGCCTGCTGTCACCGTGAAGTGTCACATCATTAAATAATTCCAGTGCCAGCTCTCATCTGTCTTCTGCCTGCCCTTGTCAGTTGGGAAGGTTAACAGAAAGAATTATTTGCCTCTGCACATAGTTTTTGGCCAGATGGTGATGTCCACGTATGTTGTGTAACACAGGGGCAGCAAGGCCAGGGATGGTGGCAGTGCAGGATGCCTATGTAAGAAATTTGGTGCATCCCAAATGTATCCTTTTATTGTGTGCAGGCAGATACTTGCTGTAGCCAGCTTTGTGTTGGGGAGCAGCAGCTGAACATCTTAAAAGTCATAAAAATGCTTTCTGGGTGGGAAAAAAAAAAAGATGCATTTAGGGAAAACAGTTCAGCCAGTCAGTGTGTACAGCAATTTACAGGAGAGGGCCCAGCACTGGAGGCTACTGGCATCCCTCCCCTGGGGAATACCCTTCTCCAGATAGTTTCAAAAATTGCTTACATCAGATAATGTCCTAAAATTGCTGCTTTTATGATTATGTAGGAGAACATGTAAAGTATTCAATAGTTCTTTGCCATCTTTCTTACAGACCGATACCTTAAGTGGCTTTTTGTTAATGCACTGTGTTCTCAGTATACTTATAAAATCCCTCCTAACAAATAACAAATTCTAAGTAATTTGGTTCTTAGTTGCCTGTGTAATGTCACAGCTAAAAAACAGGGACTTGAAAGCTGCAGCTTTTTGTTTCTCAGTCATACTTCAAGGCTTCTGTTCATTGGCATAGTTACGTGTAGCCTTTACTTTTACCTGTAAAGATTGAAAACGTTGCAGTGGCAAGCGCTGCTGCATCCTTCAGGGTGTCCTTGAGAGGACAAGTACCAAGGTACCTGGGGAATTCTCTGGCATAGGTCATGTACTTTTTAAAATACAGTTGTGGTGGGTTTTTTTTTAAATAGGACATACACACCCCCCCAATTTGAGCTCTTCAATTATACCAGTATATTTAACCACGGTGCCCCGCCAAGGCTTTGTCAGCTGCCCTGAGACCAGCGCTTCAAGGCAAGTGGGTGCACAAGGGGGACCCCGGGGCTGTTCGCCGTGCAGCCAAGCCCCCGAGGCTCTGTGCGTGGGCCCTGCGGAGTGCCAGGGTGGCCCGTGGCCATCCGTCCATCGCGGGGCAAGAACAGCGGGTTCCTATTTGCGGATTCAGTATCTCCTACAGATACTTACATCTGATCTCTTCACTAGCCAGCTGCAGCTAAAATAAAACAGAGACACTTTACCAGTGAAACAGTGTTTAATATAGTTAAATTACTTAAATAGATTTCAATTTCCATGGGAAATCATAACTGTATCCATTTTCGCAAGATCCAGAGTAAAGAGTGTGTGAATACCCCTTGAAATGATCATGACACACTGTCAACAATCACAGCTAGAGATACTGGGGACTTGAAATTTCATTGACAACACAACTTCGTAAGATGAATCAAAAGTTAGGACGACTGCAGACTTCTGTAAAGCAGAAAGCAAACCTAAAAACCGAGTGTATGGCATGAAGGGAATGAAACTCAGCGAGGGGGTAAAAGGGATGGAAGGGGGAGGGAGGGAGGAAGGCATAACAGCGTGATGCAACTGAAGTATCTTGCAAACCAGGGAAGATGTAAAGGAGCAAAAGTATAGTACAAGGGCAGACTTGGCAGTTCACAGAAGTCAATATACTATACTTTTCAGAGATGTTTCCTAGTGGAAGGGAGAAGGAAAGGGGCGATGCCATTTAAGCTTACGTTTAAATGGCTTAATGCTCAGGATATGCTTAGCAATATGGCAAATTAATTAAGACAGGCCCATGGATTTTCACTTATTCTCCTTGTCGAGTAGGAAAAAATAAATCACCACCACCATAGTGCAATCATTAAGCTGTTAGTACTACAATAATTCTGCCCTGAGAAGAGTGGAAAAGAACTTTATTAAATGTCAAAAGATTGGAGTCATTTTTTTAGTGCTAGCCAAATTCAATATCAAAACTCTCCCCTCATAGAATATAAAAAATATAGCTTTTTTTTTAAATTCTTTTCTTTTTTTTAATAAAATATCAAGGGATTTTTCTTTAATAGTTAAAAAAGGTACATAAATGAGAACAGTGAACTATTCATAACCCCCCCACACTAGTGATAAAGATGTCCAACACGATAGCAATGGCACTGTAGTTTAAGGTTGCCTGCCTCAGACACACACTTGCCATCATAACCTTTTTTGAATTCCTGAAAACTGAAAATCTGTGACTCAGTTTAAGTAAGTGCCTATTACAGGAAAGTCAACTCGATGCTGCAGTACATAGTTCCTTGTAATGTCAAATGGCAGTTACAATATCGGACAACGCTCATGTCAGCAGGATTCTAGTAAGACCATCTATGAAAAATGATTTTTTAAAAGAAAAGTTCAAATGAGCTTTTTTTTTTCTCATAAGAGCTCCTGTTAGAGTTAGTTAGAAGATTTGCTTAGAGCTCTTTTTGGTGTGTTGGACTGCTACCGTCTCAGTAGCTAAAACTCAGAGGTCCTGTTTCCATTTGTTAAGCCGCCACCCTCCACTTGAATGCTGCACGGAACAACTGTGCGACTACTGCGGTTTGTTTTTTTCCTCTTCTTTGGGGTTGTAGCTTTTTCTGGATTTTTTCATTTTAAAATGCATCTGATTCAGCCTGGAAACTCACCTGTTTGTTGTTGGTTGATTGTATAGTGATAATCTGAAAACTGCCAAGTCTGTGTTCAGAGTATTATGCACAAAAAAATTACACAAAAGTCTACAGGTTATATACACCTCCCACCACACCTTGGTGTGGACAGCCTGCCTTCTAATTTATATATAATTTACAAAATATAGAATTTGGTATATCTGTTAGATCTCCATGTTTTCAATATTACAAAATAAAAAATACAAAAAAACCCACAACAAATTTCAGGGGAGCTCCCCCCCACAAAGTGTCTCTTGTTTACATCTAGTCTTTCCCATGTAAACTGATATATACCAAAGAAGAGCACAGAAGACTTTTTAATAAATATGGTTGTAGAGCCATCTTTCCTTATCTCGATCTCCCCCTTCGTCAGCTGGGCCAGCCCCACTCAGAAGAGCAGTCATTTCGCCACGGAGCAGAAGGGAGAAGAGGGGGCCAGGGCTATAACGTCTTTTCACGCTAAAACATTACTGATGCCCTCCTAAAAGGCCTTTTTGTGTGCTGCAACAGTGGGTGTCAATTTTTGAAAGCCCATTCAAAACAGCTAATAAAAGCACAGTGGTACACTTCAAATAGCTGGCAGTATGGGATGGAAACATTATGGGAGTGCAAATCCATTCCAAAATAATGCTTTGTAGTGAATCATACATTCCTTCAACCAAGTAAATGTTGTGTTGCGTCAATAAATACTTAAATAGCTTCTTATATCATCCTGTGGTAGCAGCCTTTTTCAAAAATTCCAAATTCATGTCTTATCTGTGAACTCTGTAGTACACATCTTTGGTCGACTTAGCACTCAGCCGGGAACAACTCCAAGGTGGTTCCTTTCGATTGCCTCTCATGATGGGTGGCCAAAGAGCTTGCTGACACCAGCTCTAGAGTCACGGTGTGAAATCTCAGCTGTGCTGCTTTTTCAGCTTCACTGCCAAAAAGTGATTCTTCTCCGATTCACAATCTTGTGTAATGCAAATGCCATCTTTGCGCGATGCTGCAATCGGTGCTAACTAATCGGAGGCCCTTCATTTAGAAAGTAGGTGGTCATTTCTCCTTTGCCCTTGACCTTAATGACCCCTCGATATTCCAGCTGATAGTTGTTGGCTGCTAAAACCTGGTACATATCTGTGGTTACCTGCAGAAGAAAAAAGAGTAGGCAGATGCTTGTCATGCCTTCCGCACGGCCTTTTCATTTGCCTTTCGAGTAATCCATGGGCAAAACTAAAGTAAAGGAGGTTCAACTATTTTGTTTCTAAGTCAGTCGGCTTTTGCATGTTGATCACTAACTAAAATGTTGGCAATAGTTGCAGAACACACACACAATCCTTAGAAACTGAGACACTACAGAAGTCACACAAGGTACACAACTGGGGGGAAACCACATTCTTCAAGGAGGTCACAGGATAAGAAGAAACAAGTCACATTTTTAAAAATACACCTGGCAGTTCAGTCTACTCTGATGCATTCACTATTTCACTGGAGTGGTAGTTGGAAAACAGGTTAAACATATTTTAAAAGTCTTCAAAAATGGACTTAGAAATTCCACAGCGGATGTACAATTTAGGAGGAATCATTCAGGGGTTTGTTTTTATGAAGGAGAAGGGAGCGGACAATTAGAAAGACTGAACGAATGGACTAAGCCAGCCAGCATCCAAATTCTCTCCGCAGATGCCATTCAGAAATAACCACTTGTGCTGTAAAATAGCAGACGTTTAAAGGCCAGGCTTCCTGAGATATTTATTTACTGCAACGTATTTTCTCACCCTTTTCCAGGCGGCTTTAACTATTTCCATTTCTGGCTTCCTACTGCTGTAACATCCCTGTGCTGATTTGCTTAACTAGAATGAAAGTTGTTCATGGACCATCTCGTAGGAAAGTTTAAAGGATGTTGGATAAATATTTATCCAGTTAACTGACAGCTTAATTGGAAAGAAACAGCATGGCTTCCCCTCTTGGGTTTTACATCAGTTTAACTATTTTTACGTCCTTTCAGTACTTTCCCAAGGATTGCTGTGGACATTGGCTCAGTGAAAGCAGGACAGTGGAATTGAATCACTGCAAAGGTCGCTGCCTGAAGGCCGAGGAGAAGTTTGATTGCAAGAGAGTTTCCATTAACCCTTAAACCCTCCTCTTTCTCTAGTTCTGTGTATCCCCATCCCGCTGGTGCCTGGATCCTTGCCTCACAACACATGCGGCACTGTGAACAGGGAAGTGAATTACAGAAATACGTATCTGAATCAAGCCCTTGGAAAATAAAACAACTGACAGTTGTACGTAGCCGAAGAGCAAAGCCGGCAGCAGGAGTGAGCAAGCATCGCAGCAGGGCTGTGCCATAGTGCCCATGAGGCACTCGGGGAAGGGATTGCAGCTCAACGCTTCCACCCAGAACTAAACGGCAAGTTTTTGACCAGAGGTTGCAAAGTCGTTCAAGATTAAAAGGCAAAACTTGATGGTACCACTAGCATTCCCCAGCTGGCTTTTCTTTCAGTACGGTGTAAGTGAATGTATGGCATAAAGGAATAAAATTAAACCAAAATTCCAATTCTAACTAAGTTGCAAACCCCCTAAGTGATACAGGGCTGGCAATGTAAGTTTTCCAGTGAATTTCTTACCTGAATCCTGTCAGGCACACCTGTACTGTCCATTCGGCTGGCTACATTCACCGTGTTGCCCCATATGTCGTACTGGGGCTTGCGTGCTCCTATCACCCCAGCTACGACAGGGCCAATATTGAGGCCTGGAAGGAGAGAAGAAATCCCACAATGCTCAGATCCATCATGTGTGAACCACATGAAGCTTGAGGCAAGTTATTTTTCAGACATTAAAAGCCATCCTGAGGTTCATTGGTTCTAGCTGTGCTTCACCCTGACATGTAAAGCTACAGCCAAACTGTGGGGAAAGAAACTTTTAAAGAAAAGTTGGCTTGTTTCATCCATTACGCCTGTCTGACTGGCAACACGAGCTGGATCTGCCCCATCCAGAGCTACTTTCCAGTACCATATAACAGGATAAGGTTTATTTGCCATCCAGCTGCCAAGCAAAGTGCTCACTTGGAAGTCAGAACACAGCTGCTGCAATGCTGAGCGCCTGTGAGGCAGCAGCCTGGTGGCCTTCCAGAGCAAATACCACACTTGACATCCTCACATTTCTTCTCCTTCTCCTTTTCTGTCTCTTTATTCCTTGACTTGAAACACAATTTAATGTCCAAGAATGGCAGAGCTGGGGACCACAGCAGGTGTGGGCAAGGAGCACATCACAGGCAAAATGAGCTCAAGCTCAACCACCATGTGAGACCATGCTTTGGTAAGAGCTTCTCTGCACCAAGGTTGGCTGCCCATCTGCTCCTAATTCTCTGAGGAGCTTCAGCAATAATGCTGCTACCCTGTAAAACCTGCTCTGATGTTTCAGAGAGGCCAAAGTGGTCACCAGGCACAAGACAATTAACATCACTGTACAGCTAAGGTAACATCTGTGGTTTTTACTCTCCATAAAATCCTCAGCTCAGAATGATGACTACCTATACTTAGTCCTGTAATCACAGTGACATTACCTATCTTCATCTGGAAGTTGTTGAATGAATGTTCATTAATGTATTTCATTTGGTCCATTAACCTCATGGCAAAATCGGCCAGAGCTTTGATATGCGTCTTCCCTTCCTTGTCATAAGTGGAATCGTTGAGGCCCGATGCAGCCATATATGTACTGCCTATGGTCTTGATCTTCTCCAGCTGCCGAAATTGGTCTTCACTTATTATCTGTTTCACAAGAGGAAAAGAAGCAAATAAACCTTGACAAACACATACAAGCTGGTAATGTCCTTGCCATGTGTCCTCCCCTGGTACAAGCACTACAAAGTACTGGACAGAGTCTCCACTACTCAAAGTATAGGAAGAAAGGGAATTAGATATTTGGAGGAGTGACAAGGGAATAGAAGGGATATTAATGTGAAGAAGAAGTAAAAAGAACTTATTAGACTTCTAGAGCGAGGAGAAATGAACCATGGCATGAGGATTCAATAAGCCACCTTCCTTCAGGATCTCAGCAAAGCCCAACTAAACTCATTGATTCAGTTCACTCTGTCCACCCAGATTTTCTGTGACTTACTTCATCAAAATCAGCAATGATCTCGTTGAGCAGTCTCAGACACTCCACCCCTTCGTTGTTGGCTTCAAGCTCCACGTAAAACTCTGAGAAGTTGCTTATGGAGGCGAACATGACAGCCACGCACTCACAGGACTGGTAGTACAGTTCATCATTTCGCCGCTCCTGAGCCAAGAAATGGGCTGCCACATCCTTCGGCAAAATGTTGTGGAGGAGGCGTCTGTTGTAGGCCTGCAGCTCCTCCATTTCTTCTTTCTCTTCAGTGGCCTAGTTTAGGAGGGAGAGACAGCGATGTGCTTACTCTTTTGGTAACCGCTCTGGGGAGGGATAAAAAAGCTGAAAATGAATTTGCAGGGAGGACAGAAACAAGAAAGGGGGAAACTGCAAAGGAGGGCAGAACCAGAGAGAGATGCAAAACTGTGTTTTGCAGTGGAAGATGGTCCATCTCTGTGTGCACATGTGTATGTAAAAGCAGGCACAGAATAAAATCAAAATCCAATGTTATATTTCTGGGCCTGGAATTGGGTGACCTGTACAAGGTCTGTTCCTTTTGGGGAACTCCACCACCACCCTACCATCCATGAAAACACACATTTGGCTTTCCCAGTCAAATGCAACAGGTTTCAGGGAGACAAAGACAGCTCCTCATTGCTAAAGTCTGCATGAGTGGCACTGAATTATAATCTTCTCCCTGCACCTCCCAGATGCTCATGTAACTAAATAAAAGGACCAGACCTTCAGGAAGGATGTACCTAGGATGTACCTAGGACACCTAGGATGTACCGAGGCCTAGGTGACTAAAATAACACAAGCATTTAGAATTCACTAAATTAATCAGACATCAGAACCAGATTTGACTTCTCTTTGCAGACTTGCACGGTACCAGCATTACCTCAATTCATTGCTTCTGGTTTGTAGCTGAAGGTACAGAGGTGTCTGTACCGATCACCTCTCTCTCCCCCATTACCTGATGGCAGCAGTATTTCCCCCGTGTTTTACTTTTTGCCTTTTTAAATATTTATGAGCAAAGGAAAAAACAGGGTCAGGCAAGGACTGGGGAAGGTGCAGCTGAGACAGTGGTTGCACAGGGCGGTTTGGCTTACGGGAGCCCCAAAGAGCTTTCCTGTGTACAGCACCCCCTGCTTCAGCAGAGGCACCACGCAAAACCTACAGCCCTTTGAAATGGGTCTTCTTCAAATCTTTTTTTCCAATGACTTTTGTCATTGCTGGAGAGCTGGAGCCAATAAAAGGAAAGACATCCCTGGCACATTGGGCCTTGCTGTGGACGAACACAGCTCAGCCATACCCTCCAGCCCTCACTTGGTGAGGGGAGAAGGGACAACCTCCCCACATCCCCTAAGTACATGTTGGTAAAGGCACAAGCGATACTTGCAAAGCATTTATGACTTTGCTTGTGGGTGCTCATTTCTGAAACAGGACATTTGAAACTAGAAATGAAGTTAAACAAGGAAGGATCCTTTAGAAGGTGATATGCCTGGGCAGAACAAGGAAAACGCTTGGCTCTGCCTGGGGAAACAAATGTTTCAGCCAGCTGAGCCCAGACCTGGAACAGGCAAGTCAGCTCACCCCTTCCATTGTTTTACCATTTATAAATCAGGGTTACAATGTTTATCTGCTTCCCAAGGAGCTTTAATTAATTAGTGCTTCCTCAGTGCCTCCTACTCAGACCACTGAGACCTATTATTAGAATGATGTCCTGCCATCCAGAAGGTAATAAAACCTCTACAAAACCTGCAGTCCTGCAGTCCCCCAGCTATGAGTCCTGGGCAAAGCTGAGACCTGTCCTGCTTGTTTGAGAATCACATACGATGACCCAAAATCACTCATGGGCACAAGTAATGGAAACATTAACACTGATGCCAGTGACAGGAGCACAGCGTGGCGTTATCTGCAGTGTGTTGGTTATCCAGTACTGCTGCCTAGGGGCTAATGAAGGCTGGATATCAAGCCAGTTCCCACTGCTTAACAAAAAAGCGAATGGAAACACAAGTGTGAATTTTTCAAACCCTCAAACACAGCAAACTAAACTCACTGAACACTGGGAAACAATTCAGCAGTGAATATGAGCTTCTTATATTTACAAATCATGCTACATTACAGGTTCCTGCTACAGTGACAGGCTCAGTTGCCCAAATCCATTAACCTCAGTCTTCAGATCTACAACCCTTTACTGGGGGGGACTATGCAAAGAGCATTTACAAGGAAACAAGGGGTTAAAGTAAGTAACCACAATGAGAAGCACTGAGTATGCAAAGTACCAAAGAAGAGCAGAGCACTATTAGTATGCCCAGTTACATGTGAGATCCAGATTAAATTCAAAGGCACTTCATAACACTCCTCAACTTGATAATGAGTAGCTCAGTAGTTTTATATTAACACCAACGACTATGTGTATTCCTCCAACACAGCAAACACCTACTAACCTGGAGTTTCCAGAGGAAATCAAGCCTTGCAGTGGATTCCACTTGCTGGGCATGCAAATACAGGGCCAGGACAAAGACGGTAATGATGACAGGGGTCACAATCTTCAGCGCAACTCGTGTCATTGCTGGAGAGCTGCAGCCAACAAAGGAGCAGGATTTCCCAGTTAGTCTCAGTGTGGAGGAACACCGTTTAGCCACACTCCCCGGTTCCCACTTGAAGGCTAACCAGCCTCTGCAGAAAAGGCTTTTTTTCTTTCCCCTCAAAGCATGTGTTGGTAAAGGGATAAACAATACCTGCAAAGAGCTGAGAACTTTGGCTCATAGGTGCTGGGTTCTAAAGCAGGACTTTGAATTTTGAAATTTAATCCAAATTCTTTAAAAAGGCATTTTTTAGAGAATGGCCATACATGCTTGGCCACCACTATGCTTGGCAAAACCGAAATGCTGACAGCGCTTCAGACTGTATTCACTGCGTCTCCTGCACTGGCTTCCCCAGCCTCCTAAGCCTGGAACTGTTCTACACTTACTGCTTCTTTAATTAGTCACTTCTTAACGGCCTTTGTTTTCAAAGTATCCTGTAAGTTGAAAAGAGCACTAAGACACATTCCCATTCCTTCTGACAAGCAAGCAAACAAGAACTGTTAAATCGGAACCACAGAGTTATACAGTATGGAAATACTATTTTGATAAAACCTTTGGCTTGTAATTAGAAGTAAGTTCTACAAGGTGCTCTATAAAGCGAGTTGACGTAAGTCCCACAAGGA